TATAGAACTATCCACAGCCATAACTATAACACATTGTCCTATAGAACTATCCACAGCCATAACTATAACACACGGTACTATAGAACTATCCACAGCCATAACTATCGTACAGTGTCCTATAGAACTATCCACAACCATAGTTATCACACATTGTCTTATAGAACTATCCACAACCATAACCATCACACACTGTACTATAGAACTATCCACAGCCATAACTATCGTACAGTGTCCTATAGAACTATCCACAACCATAGTTATCACACATTGTCTTATAGAACTATCCACAGTCATAATTATAACACATTGTCCTATAGAACTATCCACAACCATAACCATTACACACTGTACTATAGAACTATCCACAACCATAACCATCACACACTGTTCTATAGAACTATCTACAACCATAGCTATCACACATTGTCTTATAGAACTATCCACAGCCATAACCATCACACACTGTACTATAAAACTATCCACAACCATAACCATCACACATTACCTTATAGAACTATCCACAACCATAACCATCACACACTGTACTATAGAACTATCCACAACCATAACCATCACACACTGTACTATAGAACTATCTACAACCATAGCTATCACACATTGTCTTATAGAACTATCGTACAGAGTCCTATAGAACTATCCACAACCATAACCATCACACACTGTACTATAGAACTATCCACAACCATAACCATCACACACTGTACTATAGAACTATCTACAACCATAGCTATCACACATTGTCTTATAGAACTATCGTACAGAGTCCTATAGAACTATCCACAGCCATAACTATAACACATTGTCCTATAGAACTATCCACAGTTATAACACATTGTCCTATAAAACTATCCACAGTTATAACACATTGTTCTATTGACCTAACCATAACTATAACACATTGTCCTACAGAACTATAACACATTGTTCTATAGAGTCAGGCATGAAATCTGGTTTGCTGCTATTTCTTAGATTCTCATAGAATAAGTGTTACGGTAGTGTTCTGGATGGATTACTTTCTTCCTAGTAAAAAAATTTGAAATTTAAAACCAGGTGAGGCTTAGACCCCAGTTAACCTGGTTCAATACCTTTTGTTGTACAATAAGTCAGAAAAACAAAATGTTTAGTTTAGGCTTACCTCTAAGTATCTGATACAGAAATACTTTGACGTGGTCAGAGGTCAGAGGCTGAGGTGAAACTATGATTTTGTGCAAGTCACTTTGCATTAACTCCGTTATTACATAACTAAGATAAAAACGTTAAGGAATGTTGAAGCAAAATATGACAGTTCATTACTAGTAAAATAACACTAATATTAAACATTTAACAGCAGAGTCATCATAATTCAAAGAAATATAAAAACAAGCCAGTCTCATTTAATGGAAAACTTGAATGATAATGGTTGGCTCCGAGACTTTTTTTTCTTCTTCTTAAGTTGAGTGGATGGCCTAAATTAACCAATAAGTTTCTTGCTGTCTGTACATCTTATTTGATTATGAAATTTAAGTTTCTATAAAAATGGTGCCAAAATTATCTTAATTCACCAAAATGATTATAATTCAATAAATATAATTTTTTTCCTTCAAATAAGAAAAAGCAATACATTTATTTCTGTTCTCTCAATACTTAAGTCAATTCAGTTCAACCATCAACCTTTTTTTTTTTATAATAAATTGTAACACAAAAATAAGCTAAGCAATTAACATATCAGAATCGAAATTACAATATTATCAGAAATCTTCTGGGGGGGGGGCAAAAGCTCCACAATTAAACTGTAATTTTTCTAAGGGGGAACAAAAGCTCCACAATTAAACTGTAATTTTCTAGGGGGGAACAAAAGCTTCACAATTAAACTGTAATTTTTCTAGGGGGGAACAAAAGCTCCACAATTAAACTGTATTTTTTCTAGGGGGGACAAAAGCTCCATAATTAAACTTTAATTTTTCTAGGGGGGGAACAAAAGCTCCATAACTAAAATGTAGTAAACTCAAATTTTCTAAAGTATCTGTATAATGGAAACATTTAATTATTACCAAAAGTGCATTACACTACACAAGTCTGGTGAGTACTTGCAGTTAAAAGTATTTGAAATGTAATAATATTATACGAAGAAATCTGACCTTTTAGCATTAGTTAAACTGGGACACATTTTATGTACTATCTACTAAATTCTTGCTGTATCTACAGATTGAAATATTTTTGGAAAATGATTTAATGCAATACTGTTTCTCAAAATCAAATTTAACAGATTTCATAAAACCACGAATAACACATGTTTAACAATACTGATCAGACTATTTAATATATCCAATCTTATTCCTTTTTTTAAAATTCAGTTTTCATTATCGTAGTTTTATTACAGAAATTATTTTGCATTGTTAGCTCAATATGATTATTAAAGACTACCTTAAGCCTTCTAAGCTAGCCGAACCTCGTGAGATATTACTGGGATTATGACCGAAAATATCCGTGAGGATACCCAACCGACAAAGCAATCCATTCTAATCTTTATAAGTAGGAACATGAGAACAGCATATTTAATTCGCTATGTTCATCACCAGGTTTAATTCTAATTTCATTCTACATCGGTAGCTTGCCTTGATTGGAAGTTAGTATTAATGAAATCATGTCAGATCACAAGGATACATTTCCTGAAAGAAGTCAAGGTGTGGTGACTGCAGAATGTCAAGTGCCGATAAGACCTAGAAAAAAACAAAAAAAACTGTCATAATCTTAAAAACAAGAAATTATTTCTAATGTAGAATTCAGGTTGATGTTACCTGACTGGAAATACATATAGGTGTATGCAGGATTATTTGAACATATTGGATTAGGCTGTGATTAAATCTAAAAATTTAACCCCAAATTTGAGATCCTATGGAGTGGTTGTAGAGAACTTAAAATATACATAAAACTTTTACACTATAGATAAAACGTTACTCGAATGTGGAATTAATAAAGTAATAAATCTTGAACTCCATGGTCTTAACAATTAACCTAAAGATCACTTTACATAAAGAACATTTAATCTTTTATAGCAAAAATTAGTACAATGTTTCAATTGCTGCATAATTATAACTGGTGGTTATCTATAGATATTTAAAGCAGAACTATGGTGGTTATCTATATATATTTAAAGCAGAATTCTTGTGGTTATCTATACATATTTAAAGCAGAATTCTGGTGGTTATCTATAGATATTTAAAGCAGAACTATGGTGGTTATCTATAGATATTTAAAGCAGAATTCTGGTGGTTATCTATAGATATTTAAAGCAGAATTCTGGTGGTTATCTATACATATT